AAAAAAAAATATTCTCCTTTATTAGATAGAGCCGAGAAGATGGGTACGATGATCAAAACCTACGCGCTTACGGGTGGGGTGGGGAGACACGCGCGGGCCCTTGCGTGGGCTCTGCACGGCTTCCCCCCCCTCCCCCGATGCTGGCCCCGCGCAGGCCCGCAGCAGAGCCCAGGGCATGCTAGCTGGTTTAAGGAGAGACGTCAGGTGAGGTGAAGTGACCCAAGGAAATGTTTGCTGGCATCCTCAGTGGGTTTCTTTTTTTTTTTTTCTTTTTTAACGAGTAGTATGTGTAAGTTGCGTGGCGGGAGGTGAGCTTAAAACCCTCCGACGCTCTGCGATAACCCCGTCCTATTTTTAAAGCCTCCCTTCTCGCGATAAAAATTGTATTTGGCAGTTTGCGGCAGTTACAGAATGAAAACATTTAAGTGTAAACTAGAAATATTATTGGTTACCGCGTGAATGGAGCTTGCTATTTTAAGTTCGGAGGGGTTTATTTTGCCACTTGAAGGTTTTTTTTTTTTCCACCAGCAGACCGAGAAGCAAATGAATCGCGTTTGCTCTTCGAGGCAGGATGCTGCCTTGGGTTTGCATTTTCAGCCCTCTCTCGGTGCGTGGCTCTGTGTTGGGTATTTACCGATGTTGGCCCAGAGTCGATTACACCGTTCAACATATATTATCCCCAAAAATATGTTGTCTTTAGCCCACTTCAAGGCACCGTATGTGGTTGCAGTTTTTTATCTCAGGCCCTGTTACTGAAGTGAAAGCCTTTATCTCTTGCGAGGGGAGAAAAGGGATGTGATTAAAATGCAAATCATTTATGAAGAACTGAACTGCAATTTCATCTTTTCACCAGGAAGTGTGAATGAGTGAAAAAGCCCCTCTCGGCCAAAAAGATCTGTTTTTGTACACGCTACCTGTTTTTCCCTCCTGGTTCAGTTTCTATTTCCCTTGCTAGCAACAACTGCCTCCCCCCCCCCCCACACACACACACACACCACACTCTTTGTAAAAGAGGTTAAATGGCCGTAATTCTGGAAGAAGTCTATTCAATCCCAACTATTTTAGTTGAGGCTGACAAAAATACTGACAATCTTTAGTCATCTTTAGCTTTGTAAACAGCAAAGCCAAGCAAGTCCCCTCGGAGGCCAGGACAGTGAACCTGTCTTCACTGCACCTTATTTCCCATCAGATTTCTTGACACATACCCCCCAAAATAGAAAGCAAATGTTGAGAAGGATAAATAAATACTTTAAAATTCAAGTCAGAGAAATGTGATACTTACATGTCTCACAGGTCTTCCAATACCTCTAGGTAAATTTCTAGCTCAGTCACAATAAGCAAACATGCATGTGTTCCGTTCTCATAGCACCAGAGAGACAGTCAAACATGTACAGTCCCTGTGCCCGTGCACTTCACAGTCCTTGCAGGGGAAGCCGACACATAAACAGGAAGTTCTCAGAGAATGAGCCAAAAATGAAAGGTGACACAAATTAGCTGAACAATGCCTAGAAGGATGGATTGAAAGCACTGACATTTTCACCTCAGCCATCTGATGCTCCCCACCACCATCGGCTGCCTCGCAGTGGAAATGGTACAGGGAGGAGAGAGAGGACCACTGTGGATGTTTGAGAAGCACTAATAAAGGACGTTTGCTCGTCTTGAGGCTCATATTTATGTAGGCAAATGTTCATTGTTGGTGTCTGAGTTTGAAGTAGTGAATTTTATCTCAGTCACTAGGGACAGGATAATTATAACATTTAGAATTTAGAATGTAAATTTTTATAAGATGCTCCATTGGAGGTGGGGGCTGGAAAGATGGCTCAATGATTAAGAGTACTGAGTGCTCTTGTGGAGGACCTGTTTGATACCTGCGCCTACATGGAGGCTCAAACCATCTGTAACTGGATCTGATGCCCTCTTCAGATTTCCTTGGGCACCAGACACACTGACATCCATTTGGGCAAAACATTCATATACTCGAAAGTCAATAAATAATTTTTAAAAGCTCAGTTGAATCCAGGTTGTATTCAAATAATCTCTACTCACAAAGGTATTTTCTGTATGATAGCACGTATATCGACTCTGCAAACAAAAGTAAAGGACTAATTTGCACACACACCCAGCCCTTGGCATGTTGGGAACTATACCAGGGATTCAATTTACAAGGCCTCCAGCATCTTTATCAAGTGCTGTATTACTGAGTACTCCTGAGCTACATCCCTGGCTCTGGACAGTTTCAGGCTGTTTAGTTAGTACAGTTTTGAGAGTTTGTTGCTTTGTTTGAGAGATAATCTCACTATACTGCCCAGGCTATCCTTCAACTATCCTGCCCCCTGAGTGCTAGGATTACAGGCTTCTACCACCACACTGGTTTCCCTGACTATTTTTAAAAGTCAGTTTTATAGAACAGAGATGGTGGTGCTTGCTTATAAACCCAGAACTCAGGAGGCAGAGACAGGAGGATTACTGCAAGTTCAAGGCAAAGGGCAACCTGGCCAAAGTTGTTGGCCTGCCATGACTACAGAGTGAGATCCTGTCTCAACAAAAGAAAACTTGCTGTGGATGTTTTTCATGTTTGTCAGATTTTTGCCTTTTTAAAAAATTATAAATTAGAATAAAATAGAAAATCTCTGCCTTGGCTATTGGGAATGGCGCTGTAATACACATGAGAATACAGATCTATCTTTGACATACTCTGTTTGTTGGTGGTATCTCATTTATTTTTAATTTGTATTTCCTTGATGGCTACTCATTTTTATAGTGACGGATATACTAATTTTCTAGAATTTATCATTACACAATGTACATATTTAAAGAAACATATTCTGCAAATAAGCACCATTATGTGTCGATGAGAATTAAAAGTTGGCCTTTTAAAGAGGAGATTTGGAGTTGGAGACATGGCTCAATCATGTAGAGCCCTGTCCGTGGACTTCTCCCTACCATCCCATCAGGCCTCTCCCAACTGCCTGGAAAACACTCAGGCTCCAGGAGATCCAACACCCTCTCCTGGCTTCCAAGGACACCTGCGTGCACCACACACACACACACACACACACACACACACACACACACACACACTTAAATCTTAAAAACAGAAAAAAAGGTAAAGGGGTAGTTTATCCAATTGAAGTTTCTTAGTTAAGTCTTTTAGGCCAAATTGCCCTAATAGAAATTTTTTTTTATATGATTGCAGAATTGGTTCCTTCTTTCTCTGTGAAAAAAGTACTTGTTCTAGCCTGTCGGTAGTGGCACAGCACGCCTTTAATCCTAGCACTCGGGAGGCAGAGGCAGGCAGATCTCTGTGAGTTTGAGGCTAGCCTGGTCTACAAAGTGAGTTCCAGCCACGTTACACAGAGAAACCCTGTCTCAAAAAACCAAAAAAAAAAAAAAGTACTTGTTCTGTAATTTGTTTCAAATTGACATCTGAAACATCTTATCTGAATAAATTTTTCTGTCCATGTTTTTATTGGCATCCTATTGCTGTCAAATTCTGTTCAGCAACTTACTTAAAAGCAAGATTTCAGGTTTTATTCTTTAAACAAAATTACTACTATTTGATTATATTTGATTTTATTGATTTCAGTACTTATATTTATAGCAACAAGTTTGTAACTTTTAAGAAAAGTCACACTTAGATTTATTTGATTAAGGAATAATTAGTAAAATAGGGCTGGAGAGATGACTTGGAGGCTAAGAGTGCTTGACCCTTTTCGAGAGGACCTGAATTCTGTTCCCAACATCTATGTTGGGCTTCTAACTCTAGCTCCAGGGGATCCAAGGACCTTTTCTGGCCTCCAAGGGCACCTGCACACATACATGGTAAACATACACAGAGAGAAACACACATAAGTGAATAAAAATATATCTTAAAAATGTTAGTAAGATAAATGCATTTTTACTCCATTTTATGAATATAAAGTAACTTTAACTTGGTCTGGAATGTAGTTCACGGGCATAGCAAATAACTTAACTCTGGAACTGATTCTGTGCTTGATGATAGTTCAGTCAGTAAAGTTCTTGCCTTTGGTCCTCCAGAACCTACCAAAACAAAACCAGAAATGCTGGGCATGGCGACACAGAGCAGGAGACAGAGGGGACTGGAAGGCAGGCAGGTCCCTGGGACTCACTGGCGAGCAGTCTAGCATGTATAAACACAAACCAAGCAGAAAAGAAGAAAACACCATGGTTAGAACTTCAGGAACAACAGCTGAAGTTGTCTTCTGGCCTACACACACACACACACACACACACACACACACACACACACACACACAAGTGCTTGTTCCCACTCATATATGAACATGCCGTATAAATGCACACAATACACACTAAGATTATCTTTTTTTTTTTAACTTCCCAGACCTCCTCACAGGGCCTCCAAACTACATTTCTCTGAAGTGAGATAGTCTGTATTTCACTGACCTGTGTTGTCTGTGCACTTGGCGTTTATGCCTCTCTCTCTCTCTCTCTCTCTCTCTCTCTCTCTCTCTCTCTCTCTCTCTCTCTCCTGTTTTGTATGTTTCTTTTTTGTTGTTTTTATTTGGGGGTTGATGTGTGTCCATGTCCGTGTGTGTGTGTGTGTGTGTGTGTGTGTGTGTGTGTGTGTGTGTGCATTTCCTGCACATACTGATGTGCACACATCTGGTGCATGTACATATGGGCGTTTGTAGGCCCAGGGGCAACCTCAACCTCAGGTGTCATTTCTCAATAGCTCTGTACCTAATTTGTTTGTTTGTCGATCTTGGGGGGCTTGGGTTCCAGGGATTTTTTGGTTAGTGGTTGGTTGATTGGGTTATTTTTTTGAACCTGGAGCTTACCAAGTAGGCTAAGCTAACCAACTAGCAAGCCCTAGAGATACACCTATCTACCTTCCCTGGTACTGGGATTGCAAAACTACAAGACCACACCTGACTTTTCTTTTCTTTCTGTTATTGAAAAGGGTTTTTTTTTTTTTCATGCAACATACCTTGATTATGGTTTTCCCTTCCTCCATTCCCCACAGTTCCTCCCCTATTCCTGACATTTTTAATGTGGGTTCTGAGGGGTTGTTGCTTGGAAATAGAATTTAGTATAGCCCAGGTAGGCCTTGAACTTGCTATGCAGTGAGGATGACCTTGGACTTCTGATTGTCCTGCTTCCAAGTGCTTTGATTAGGGACTCGGCCCCCATGCCCGGTTTCATGTGATGATGAGGATCAAACTGAGGACTCTGTGTGTGCTAAGCAAACACTCGACCAACCGAGCTGTACCCCAAGCCCGGAAGGTTTGTCGTTGTTGTGTGTTTGTTTGCTTTTGAGCCAAGATCTCCCATTAGAGGGCATGATGGCCTACAGTATAGCCAGGCTAGCTTGGAAGTTGGGGCAATTCTCCTGCCTCATCCTCCCAAGGGCTCAGATTACAAGCATGCACCACCATGATGAACTGTTTTTATTTTTCTTGAAGGTATCGACTGCCAGTGATGTGTACATCCAAGCGTGGTGACTTCCCCACAAGTTCTGCCTGCTCCTGGCCCATCAGCTCTTTCCATTGACCTTCCCCTTGTCCTGTTCTCCAGATTGGCTGTGGATATCACCGGGGACTATACTACTGCTTTGGTGTATTAGTTACTTTTCTTGTTGCTATGACGAAATAACTGACAGGCATCATCTTAATCTCAAGGCCTTCCCCCAGTGGTCCACATCCTCCAGTGAAGCTCCACCTTCTAAAGGTTCCCTAACCTTCTCGAACAGCACCACCAGCAGAGCACCAAGTGTTCAAATGCACAAGCCAAAGGGCCATTTCACATTCAAACTACAACTCTTAATAGATGACTGTGTTTCACCATGGTTAATATTGTAGTATATATGTTGTTCACCATAAAATGGTAAGCAAAGTTCTTCTATTTTCTTAATAAACTATTTCAGGTCCTTGATTACGGAGTATTTAGATTCTGCACCTTGATCCTGTCAAAATCATCAACACTCTTCCTAGTACCTCCCTATATTCCACAGATTTTCTAGCCAGGCCATCACTACTACCAAAATAAATATTTCATGCCTTAGTGCATCTGGGAGATGGCTGGCATTCTATCCAATCAAAAATCAGCTATTTTAATACTGTACACTACAGATGTTATTGGATTTTCAAAGCTATGCTTCAGAAGCTACCTCTAGTACACAGGGAGAGCAAGGAGATAAGACTTAAACTAGCCTGCTGGGCCTGGTGGTGCATGCCTTTAATCCCAGCACTCAGAGAGAGAGAGAGACATTGGATCTCTGTGAGCAGTCAGGGCTGCCTGGTTAGACCCTGTCTAAAATAAACAATCAACAACTGGTAAATTAGAAAGCTTCTCACATCTGTCTTCTATATTGCCATTTGTCTGCCCAGTACTTTCCTTTCTCTCCAGGGCTCCTTTTCTTTGGGGGAAATATTTCTGCCTTTAGCAGGTTGTTACAGAAGTGAGTAGTGCTCCAGCATTCCTTCCCCTGTGAGGCTTTATCTACAAGCCCACTAAAGCTCTCAGCACATCATGCCCAGCTCTGCTACAGAGAGTATGCTTAAGTTAACCAATATATTCTCTTTTATATAGTACCTAACTTGAGTTGACTTCTGAGAACAAAACGGGTGGACATTTTTTTTTTTTTTGTCTAGCCACATTCTTTCAGAGAAGACTAACTGCTAAATACAGTTGGACATCACCAAACAGAAGTACAAAAAGCAGTACCATTGTCTTCACCATCATGGGTTGAATCGCAGTCTATAAACAAAGCAGACATTCCCTTTATGAAGATAAATTTAGAACGATTCTCTCTGTATATGATCTATCAAAGCACAGTCCCCAGTTGCCTCCTGGCCAGTTGTCTCTATGTAGTATGTAGAGTGAACAGCCATGGGACAGTACCCTCTAATTACTTGTGTATGTACAACTCTATCTTACATCCTATATAGTGAGCTCTGTCATTAGCAAATAATAAAATATGATATTGCTTATCTATGAATGTTGGATACAAATTATCAAGAAATATTTGATTAATGGTAGTCCTTCTCAAGTCATACCATCAGCATTTTTGTTTGTTTCTTTTTTTTCAAGACAAGTTCTCACTATGTAGCTTAGACTGGAATGGAACTCACTGTGTAGCTCAGCCCAGACTAGCTTTAAACTCATGATCCTCCGGCCTCTGTCTTCTGACTACTTTTTACAGATGTGGTACCACATCTAGCCCATGTCATCTTAATTTCCTAGGAATTACCTGCTAGTAAAACAAATCAGAAATAACAATTCTTTTCTCTCACATTAAAGGAGTCTGCTAGTGGCCAATTCAGGGACCATTATGGCCAACAGGACCATGTTACCTTTAAATGGTGACTTCCTTTCCTGTTTGATAGTCCAGTGCCTCTCTCAGGGCCCACCCCACATAATTGTACAATTTACTGAAATGCTGCTGATCAGGATGTGAGTAGGGGATGAATATTCTAAAGGACTGCTTGTAGTCATAGGAGGAGCTTCTAACTCATCTACAAGGATAGGAGTGTCTTCTGCTCAAAGACAGGAAAAGATGTGGATGTTGGAATTCTAACTATCTCATTTATTTTCTTGACAATGCAAATTTTATCTTCACCTGTAAGCACTTTCCTGGAAGGTCTGCCTAAAATACTTACTTGGATTTTATTAGCCATAAACTTAATGAAAAGTCATTAACTAGCTGAAAAAGAAGCTGAGAAACTACTTCTGTTCAACACATTGCTACCAGAAGTGAAACACTGGGCAGCATAGACAGGATCCATCTCTGCAACATTGAATGGCTCGGGGGTCCAGAGAAATAAGTGAAGACAGTGGATTTAATTTTTTTAAAACTTTTAATGCTGGCAAAGCAAGCATGCCGTGGTGCTTATCTAAATTAAAGTGAGGCATTTTCAGCCAAACTTTCATGGTCTGTATTTAGAAGCTCATAATTAATTACTCCCTTTTTTCCTTTGTTTCTTTATCTCTCCGAAAGGTCAGTAGAGCTTGTTTTTTGTGTCCTCAAGAACATCTATATTTAAATTCTGAGATGTCAAATAGAAGGATTCCCTTACTCTGTAAATTTTTAAAAGAAAAACTTTCTTCTAAAGGGTAAGGTCCTTTTCTTGTCCCAAATACCATTGAACTTTTAGGAGTGTGTGCATATTATGCTTGTAACTATTTCTAAGCCAGTAAATTGTACGGGGTTCCCCACTGCCTTTCCAGGATGGTTATAACCTGGACACCAACACTGGCAAATTTAGCACCTTTCTCCGTCACTCTCCCTGGTTTATATCCACACTTGTTTCACATATTCCGACTTTCCCAATCTGGTTCTCTGGTTGACTGGCTTCCACTGTTTGGCCTTCCATTTCCACACTCTCAAAGGAGTTGTCCTTCCAAGCACCTGCCCCAGCATTCCCTACAGCCTTCCTTGATGCTCTCTCTCACAATGGGTCATACCCTCCTTCCCCTTTGAACACCCACAGCTTGTTGAGGAGAGGTCCTCTGCCGTGTGAACTAAGCCCGACTGGAACCCAGTGACTTGAGAAAAGCATGTTTGACTCCAGATTGTTGGCTCTGCCCCTTATCGTACAATCTTGGGGAAACTGCTTCACTTCATCTGAAACATCAAATATCCAATTTCAGGGCAACAGCATTTCCCATTCTGTGAAGAGACCTCGGAAGTAGCTACACCACTGTGCGGAGGCCCAGGTGGGGAATGAAGGAGACTGGGCTGGCTGATTGATCACGTCGTGTGTAAGGAGCTGGAGTGGTATAAACAAAGTTTGTCGATAGACAGCTGCAGGAAGGAGAGACAATGGCAGCCCTTATCAACATGATGAGAGGTGCTTCCTTCAGATACAAAAGTGATCTCTGGAGCTCCGTTTCCCAACCATTCTCCAAGCCCGGATCCCACAGCGCGTCTTGTTAATATGGCTCTTATGTTTTACTTTGTTTGACACTCCCTTTTTTAAATAACCTTGACTTATTGAAGGAACCAGATGTTCCAATTGAAGAAACAATCATTCCAAACAACGTCAAACTTCTGGTTTGTTTGATTACTTGGACAAATATATTAGCATTTGCTTTGATCCATTATCTCCTCTGTTTTCTGGAATCTATGTTATAACTAAGGATTTATTGGATTAAAATTAAATATTTTTTGTTATAATACATCATAGATGTGCTCTGTACTTCATTTTACCTACTTAAATAATACAAAAATCTGTATTGTTTAAATACAGTAAATGAATATGAATCCTGGATAGAGTGATTATGTTCCACTCCCACCCCAGAATTCAACCTCAGTGACCTGTGAATGGAGGGGCTTAGTACATGGGTAAAGTATAGAATTCAATATTGGTTTTCCTCCCAGGGACTTTATGTGTTATAAGAGAAGCCTTGACCTGGAGTGACAACTTAATGGTAGGACATATGCTTGACATGGTCACGGCCCTGGGTTCGATCCCTGCACCAACAAGGAAGGAAATGAGGGAGGACAACGGAAGGAAATGAGTGCTAACACACCTGTGTCCAATGAATTAGGAGAACTTCCAACAGCTGACCTTTAAAGTGACTGCAATCAAAGGAACTCTGCTCTCTCTGTGTAGGGTAATCTTGTTACTGTCTTCTTTCAGAACTGTGTTCCACTTCTTTCTTTAGATTGTCTATATTGCTAGCCCATTCCCCCAGAAGACCCAGGAAAGAGTATTTCTAATATCACACATTTTCCGACTTCTTCCTGTTAGTTTTCCATATATAATAACTTGCTGTCCCAGATCTAAATATTTGAACAACCACATGCTTTTTCTCATGTTGGTGCAATGTAGCTAGTTTTTGCTACGAAGAGGGAGCCTGTATTTTACTTTAGTTCTAAGATGACTCATGCTAATCACACATTCTAATTTATCTTCTCTGGTTAACCTTCTCAGTTCCTTCTTTTTGTCAACATGAAGTTACAAGTTAGAATCCCTTCACGCGAGGTGACTTGGGAGAATCACCACACAAAGCCTTTCCCCTTTGCATGTTATAATGCCTGAAAATGCACTGTGGGAACTTTCGTTTGAAGATCAAAAACAAGTTCTGAAATACCCCACTTTCCTTAGTCAGCTACCACAACTACTAAACATCATTTTCCCAGAGGTTCTCAGTGTGGAGAGAGAGGGGAGATCATGCATGAAAATAGAAACAGAACGTGCTATCCACTGCATTTTTTTATTCTCAGAAACTTCCTCGGTTCAATAAGAAAATTGGTTTTGTTTTGCTTGTTTCTTCCTTTGTTTGTTGTCTGGGACCTTAGCTTAGTGACAGGGCACTTGCCCAAAATGCACGAGGCCCTGGGTTGGATCCTAAGAACTGCACCAGAAAAGTTTTAATTAAGTCTTACGAAAACATGTTTAGTTTTGTTTTTCCCGGTGTTTTCCCAAATGCGTTGTCATGACTAATCACCGCCTTCTAGACTGGATTTGGATTCACCTGGGTAACACACAGGTAGGGGTGTCTGTGAGGGAAGATTAACCGCGGGAAGACCCACCGTGAATATGGTGGGCACTCTCCATAGGCTGGGATCCTGGACACAGTCGAGTGGGAAGGAGGAGGAGGAGGAAGCCAGTCAAACACCTTCGTTCCTTTTCTCTACTTCAGTGGCTTGCTCAGCCATGAGCTTCTGCCGTCTTGTCCCCTCCAAGCGCTCTCAAACTGTGAGCCAGAATATCCTTCCTTAACCTGCTTCTTCTGGCTAGGAATTTGACAGCAGCAACTAGAGACGTAATTAGTGTGTGTGCTGACCGGAGATACCTAGGAGCACCTGTGTGCCCCACGAGGCTGCTGTTTGTTGGCACCTATGTTCCCATTGTATGGGAAACACAATGTAAACCTATACTAAGCAATGGCTTTGTTTGTTTGTTTGTTTTTTCTTGTTTGCTTAGAATGGTTATGTTTATTTGTGGATTTTTTCTTTTATTGAAAATAGGGTTTTTTTTTTTTCATACAATATATTCTGATTATGGTTTCCACTCCCCCCACTCCTCCCAGTTTCCTCCCCACCTCCCCACCCATCTGGTAGCCCTGTAAGTAAGAAGTCACACGTTACTGTAATTGTTTGAGTCAGGAAGGTCACCTCCAAGCTCATGTTTTGAGCAATGGGGCCCCAGCGTGAAGTCCAGAACAATGCCGAAGGCTGCACCTAGCCAGCAGAAGTGGGCCACTAGGGTGGGCCTTCTGAAGGTGATACCTGCTCAGATCTAGGATCGCGACTTCCTGGTCTACTGTGATGTGACCCCATGCCTCACCTCCATGACCTGAGCTGCTTTCAGCACGCCTTTCCCACTGTGAATGGCCTGAAATCCTGAAGCACACGCCAGAATCACCTTTGTCTCCCTTGTGTATGCGGTCAAGGTAACAGTGATTCAAAGGTGACTAGTGTATAGTGTAAACATCTGGTTTTTCACGTTGCCGGATGGGGGAATGTCATCTTCTTCTGTCCTGTAGCCACTGATAGATAAATTATCCACGCATTGGTAAATGACCCCACTGTGCTCATGCAAGCAGCTCTAAACTCTGTGGGCCTCTCCCTCCCTCTCCTTCCCTCCCCCTTCCTCCCCCTCCCTCCCCCCCCCCTCTCTCTCTCTCACACACACACACACACACACACGTATGTGCACACACACATGCATGAAAGTAGGAGGGGCTTGGGAAGAAGAGGGATTTCAGTGGGACGAGAGGCAGGAGAGGGTAATGGCAGGTGAAAATTACTAAAATTCATTACACACATGTGAAACTCATAATTAAAAACAAAGAAATGGCTGGGATGGGAAAAAATTGTCTGGCTAGGATTAGAACTCAAATTTCGTTTCCCATCTGATTCCTGGAAATGCAAACAATTCACTGCTATAATTCTCTGCTTGAAGTGGAAAACATGAATTCAAATGACTGTAGGAGTATAGAGAAGAGGCCTCTTTAGTGGAGTTACTGACTCTCTTTCTCTTAATAATCTGTAAGGTATTACAAAAGGAGTGTAGATTCTTTTCGTGTGTGTCTGTTTGTACATCTGTGTGTGTGTGTGTGTGTGGATGTTTGAGATCAACCGTAGCTAATACTGTGAAATTTACTTTTTCCACCCAGTGTTATAGTGTTAATGTAATGTAATGCCATCAAGTATAATGCTCAATCCCTTCAGATCCAACATTCTCATTTAATAGCAAAGGTTTTGTAATCTTTCTTTATTATCCTGACCTGTTCTGACCTGGTATGCATAAATAATATGTTTTATGTACATAAATAATTTCTTTTAAAATAATATAATGTCTTAGTTATAAGCTATATGATAATTAAAAGCAAAGTAATTTATCATTAAATACTATGATGAAATGCTCAGACTTGACTACAATGGATGCGAAAATAAAGACGTTAGAAACTTGTATCTACATGTAGCTTTAATGTGAATCCCATGACTATAACAGCAAACCGGCTGATATATAGGTGTGGTAGGTCATAAAAGTGACATGATATTTCTAAAATGGTGAATTACTCTTGGTAAAATTCCAGGCAAAACAATTATATTCTTTCATAGTTACATAATAGCTGTGTTCTATAAAAAGACCGTATTAACCGTCTTCCTTAAAGATCCCAAGTCCTTCATAAGTAAAATAGAGTTTGCTCTAGGTTTGGACCATTGTGAACTTGCTTTTCCTGTTTATCCAGGAAGTTTCCCCCCTCGTGCTAGGGATTGAAGCCATGGTCTCACATTTACTAGGCAAGTGCTCTTTACACTAAGCTACACCACCAGCTCTTGATGGCAAGGGCTGGTGACCCACAGAGTGTGTCACTTTTCGTAGTGACATTTAAAGGTCATGTATGATGCATCCGGTCATGTGTAGGACTTTCCTGAGAATTTTTGGATCTTCACTTATCTCAAATATTGTTTCCTATGACAGCTCCCTCTCCTGATTATGGTATCTAAAGACCTTCCTTATCAATTCTCAATGGCCAAACTCACAAGTAGAGATATGTCAGTTACAAGCTGTTAATACAAAACAAACAAATGAATAAACATTTTAAAGACCACTTAGCCTAATACCATTCCTGTTGTTTAATATGACATTGGGAGTTACCAAATAATTAGATATTTACCAAATTCAACACCTTTTCCTTAAATCGTGGAATGATAACAGTAGACGCCATTTAGTAAGAGCTCACAATTTCCCAGATATTTAATTTCTGTTCACCTATTTGACCTTTAAAAGCACCATATAAGGTAAATATTATTATTGCTCCTCAAAGATGTCAAGTAACTTTCCTCAGGGGAACCAGTATCCAAACCAGGTCATTGTGTTGTTAGAATTCACAGGCTTTGCCACTACAATATATTGCCAAATGCAGTCTTAGAGTAGCCAGGCTCCTATGTTCATACTCTGATTACCTTCTGATAGAACTTCTCTCTGTGAGCGTCTCCCCTTTGTGATCTCTGTAGAACAATTCTTGTCTGGAAGCATGGGAGGCTGTTTCCCACCTCCTCTTCCTCCACCCTTTCCAGTGCTCTGTGCTGGATTTGGATCTGCCACAATTGGTTTCAATTAATGTCCCTACCCTAAGGCTGTCTCTGAATGAATGACTCAATGTAACTAGCAAATTCAATTTTTAAAGGAGCTTGAGAATTTTAAACCTGCACCAACGTGCCTAGGGAGTATACTGTTTCATATTCATCCTCTCCTCTTCCTCATCTCTTTGCTGTTTAAGCTACTAGATGGCTGTATCTCAGAATATTTTCCCATTATTAGAATCCACCCCCATCTCTCTCTCCCTCCCCTTTCTCTCTCTGTTACTAGAAGGGAACAATGTGAGAACAGGGAGTATATACTGCTGTCTTTCTTCTGTAGTGCATTGTAATGCTTGTACATAACAAATTCATAGTAACCATTTGTTGACTGATTTACGTGAAGCTGAATTCAGTGTAATTGGCACAAAAATGATAACCATGTTTAGATGAAAAGTCTCCGGTAGAGTTTGAATCTATAAAGTTTCCCAAAGGCTCATGTGTAAAAGCTTGGCTCCAGCTCACTCCCACTTAGGAGATGCTCGACACTTTCAGAGATGAGGTGTAATGGGTGGTCTCCAGCCCACTGAGTGTGTGTTCTCACAGGGGATGTGGGGAGGGTGAAGTTCAGCAGTAGAAT